GTAAGATTAATTCATTTTTATGAATTAGAATAAGAGATGTATATCATCATTTATAGGAATGAATAATTATAAAATATTAACTATAGATAAATGCTTTTAACGTGGTAGATTCCAATCATTTCTTTTGAATAAAAATGAAGATTTATTAATTGAGTATGGAGATGGTATTTTAATATTTCAAAAACAAAATTCAACTTGGAAATATATTTGGTATGAAGAATTCTATTAACATTGCTCAAATGTACACTAATTTGTAAAGCTGATTTCTGGAAAGATGGTGATGGTCTACTATGTATTTATTAAAAAAAGTAAAATGAGATTCAAGTCACTTGGGAATGTATATAAAAAATTCCAATAATGATGCTTAATTCAATTTGTTATATTAGTTAACATAAGGTTATTATTATTGCAGATCCGAAAAGGAATCTAAAGTCTTATAAATTCAATATAAACAATAATTAATTCGAGAAGGAGAAAGATAACTAAAATAATAAAATCTAACATATAGCTTTTAGATAAAATGAAATTATGATTGATTTTAATGGAATATAGTCTACTGTTGGAATAGAAGAGAATAAATATTTTATTTCTGCTTATTTTTCAGATAATCCAGTTAGCTACTTTTCAAAAAGATTTTGCATAAGTAATTAAGGATTTGTTTTTAAAGTTTTTTCAAAAATAAAAAAATTGTATTTTATTTTTAAAACTTATTCATTTCATTATTAAAAAGCAACAGATGGAAAATATTTTCTTATTTTAAATTAATTTTACTCAGCCCATGTGATTAAATATTATCCATCATTGCTGACAAGTCCATATATAAGATTATTTTTAAACTAAATTGAATATTCAATTTAAAGATCTCCAGCCATATTCTTCTTTATAATATGGATATAATTATCATATTTATTAATCAGGATTTATTTCTTCAATATAAACACAGAAGGGAAATACCACATATTTTCAGTTCTACCACATTTCAAATCAATAATTTTAATTTAATTATATCCTTTACCATTAGATTTGTATACTTCCATAAATTAATCATTATTTGGTTGATAAACGAATTAATTAATATCTATAAAAGTTAATTTATATCGAGGTTTTACTCTTATGTTTTAAATTACTATCCAATCGTTGTTGGGCTGTTTATTCAACACCAATATGGTTCCATCATTATCACAAGATATTAATTAATTTTAGTTTTCATTTAAACTAAGACTCAAAACCAAACTTTTATGTTCCTTTATTATTTTTTTGATTTTCCATACTTTTTCAAAATTCCAGAAAATTATGGATTTATCATAGCTGCAAGAAATAATTAGATCCTCTTAAGAATTCATGATGATTTGATTAATTATATGAGTATGTTCTTTAGCTTATTATTACATCTACCATTTATTGTATTAAACTTGTTTCCAAAAAAACATTGATCCAAAAATATCTCCTGATATAAATTCATTAGAATTTTTCATAAAGTATAAAGCACTAACATTGTTATTATGACCATTTAAAGTTTGTAGACAATTTATATTTCCATTATCAAATTCAAATATTTTAATAGTATCTTCACAACCGGCTATAATTATTGAATTTTACTAATTAAAAGCAAATACAGAACATTTTATATTTTATTCCTTTATATTTGATTCTATAATCTCATAAGAAAAATTAACCTCTTTTTTATTCTCAATAATATTTTTTTTATTATCCTATTCTTTTAGTTAATTGATCATCATTATACATAAACTAAGTAATATACCAATAATCCATTTTAATTGAAACCTTTTTTTTTAAGGTATAACTTTCATTTTTATGTCAACTTATTGACTAACTATACTTAAATTGGGTCTTACTTTATAAATCTTTTTAATTTCATTTTTTTCTAAGATTCTTTCAATCTCTTCTAAATATGAATGATAATAAACTTCTTATTATTTTCTAAATGTATACAAATATTCTTGATTACTTAGATTTTCTGCTATTTCATAAATTTATTCTATTGATAATCTTTCTGGTTTTACTTCAAAAAAANAAACTTAATTTATTTTAGTTTAAAATTTTAGTTAGAAAAAAGATTTACTTATATCTCTTTGATTATGTATAATTTTATCAATAGAATTTCAATTTAAAAATTAAAATTAAAAAAATGGTCTTATATAACTAATTGTGAATTTTACTTAGATGGAGGTACTCTGTATACGAAGGAATAGTTAAATCTCCAAAGATATTAAAATAAAAATGACAGAGTAGAAATTTAATGTTCGATTTATCATTCTATCGATTTATGTTAAAATCATAGATTCTTTCAGATTTTCAATAAACAATTTTCAGTAAAGATTCACCTAAAAATATTTTCTATTTAGAATTCCTCATCTAAATTCAGAAGTTCTATTATTTACTATAATTTACTAAAGCCTGCTTAATCTTATAATCTAAGTGTAATTAAGAGGTTATATATTTATAAAATGAATTTAGTTTTTGGAAAAATATATGAAATTAAGCAAGGAGTTTTAAGAGTAGGACTTTATGCAATTCATTTTGGCTAAATATCTAAATTTACAAATTTAAATACTAATGCTATTATGCCAATAAGAAGATTCTATATTAAATTAAAACTTTATGAAATTTTAGATATGTAGGGATATTATTTAATTGCAATAATCAATATAATATTCTATATAGGCTGGAATAATGTCTACCTTAACTAATCAAATGGTAGATATTAAGAATTTTCTTGACTTATAATAGTTTATGTTGTATTGAATAAAAATAAAAAATATTTATTAAATGCATGTCGAATATTATCATAAATCAGAAAAAATAAATATAGTTTAAAAATAGCCTTTTATCCTTCAAAATCTTGCAAAATACCAATTATGATCTAAAATTATTAAGAATGTTGTACTTTACATATCTGGAAGCTTAGGAAGATCAAATTTATAAAATTGCACGAAAAATTTTCATTTACTTTTTTATATGTAATAAATTTTAATTTTATATGTATTTCAGCTATAGTGAATGCAAGTTTAATAAAATTGTAAATAGGAATTATTTATTTTAAATATATATATAATTATAAATGATATAATATCTTGTATATAGATTATTAATATAAATAAAAGAAATATGAATATTTTACAATAAAAATAAAGTTAAGATGTTTAAGAGACAATTTGTAAGAGTCATAATTTAGAATTGATTGCTGTTGATTTAGACATGTCAGATAAATCATAAATAAATTTTTTTTGTGGTAAATGTTTAGTAGATAAATTAAATAATAATAAAGTGACAACTATTGAATAATCAAAAGAAAGAATTTAATAAATTAAGAATTAATAATAAGAAATTAAAAGTAAAGAGAATCAAGCAAGACTTAATTATTATAAGAATATTTTAGATTAAATAATGGAATTTAAAAGATCTATAGATGATTCTTTAGAAAAGATAAGTAAATAAATTTAATAATACATGTTTCCAATTTAAAAGGAAAAAAAAGAATTATAAGAAAATTTAAATTAATTGAATTATTTTGAAGATATAAAATAATTATCAGAATTATATTCAATAGATTAATAAAAATCAATTAAATTAATAGAAGATAATATATTTATAGATGAATTAATAAGATAATTTGAATTATTATTTAATAATGCTGAATATTATTAAACTTTAGACATATTCAAAAATACAAAATAAACAATTTAAGATATAATGGAAAATAATATTATTGAATTACCACCATTATTATAAACAAAAAATGAATTTGTAAATAATTATATATATAAATTAAAATAGAAAACACCAAGTTTAAGTAGAATTTGTT